GCAAATAACTAACCTTGGCTGTTTAATTTAGAAATATTTACATTAAAAACAATATTAATAACAAATAATAACATTGTGTGCTCATGATGTGCTATGCAATTTCCACATTTTATTCCCTTAATGTTCAAAGGTGTGTAGGTATGTACTATTACTTATTTTACCAATAGAGGAACAAAAGCATGGGAAAATGCAATACCTTGCCCAAGAAAGGAAGGTTAAAATGCTATCAGATATCTGAGTCCAGAATCTGAGTCATTAGTCTCTACAGTAACACACAAAACAGAATCATCTGAAAAGAAAGTGTTAGATAAGAAAATATTTGATTCTGGTGGAAAATGTTTCCACTCCTAACAGCAGAGCTGATTCTCAGTAACACATAGTTCCTAGGACATAGCAGATCTGCAGGACAGGGACACGGATCACAATGGTTCAACTTCTCCAAATGTTATAGATTGAATGTATGTGTCCCTCCAATACTCAGATGTTGAAAATCTAAGGCCCATAGTGACAATATCAGGATTTGAGGTATTTAGCAGTTGAATTGACCATGAGGGAAAAAGCCTCATGAATGGATTTACCCCCTTAAAACAGATTCCAAAGAGCTACCTCGCAGTTTCTGCCATGTGAGGTCATGGTGAGAAGTCAACAGTATGCAACTGGGAAAGGAGCTTTAGCCACAAGCCAGACATGGTGGCACCTGGTTTTGGGCTTCCAGATGCAGAACTGTGAGAAATAAAGTCCTCTTGTTGATAAGCCATCCAGTCTGTGGCATTTTGTTACAGTAGCGTGAATGGGCTAATAAAGCAGGGGGTCCCGCGGGGGTGAGGATGATGGAGCCCTAACGAAGCATGCCTGACTCCAGAGACCAGGTTCAGTGACACAAATCTAAGTTTATTGTGTAAGTGCAGCAGTATATATAACATTTTTGACCAATCAGAAGTTTACACAATCCTTTAGGGCAGCCAATAATAGGAAAGATCAGGGTACTATGTAGGGGCTCTAGGAGGTTTGCTCAAGCTGTGCGCTGCCACTTCCTGGTGTGCCGAGGAAGCTTGTACAGCGGAGTGTGCTCACGCCATTGCATCTGCCACTGCACTGAGATAAATCTCCTGAGCTCTTCCCACATCTCCCCCTTCTTTTCTTATTAGTGCCTGCTGGACGTGTATGATCATGGCTTGCTGGGCACTTAGCTTAAGGAACATGTTGTATAAACAGTGAAATAATACTATTTCTACGAAGAATCCTACTATCATGACTCCCCATATGAGGAGGTTGGCTGGGTTTAACCAGGAGGTTAGATGGCTGAGGGCATCACTTAAGAAACTAAACTCAATAGGTTTCACTTGGGTATTACTGCATGAGGTGCTAGGTATATCCACCCTTGTCCCGGGGCAGTCCCATTATCTAGAGTCCACTTAAGGAGGTTAGGGCTACTGCTATCAGCCCACACCGTCCCGTTCTATGGCAATGAGACCGGTTCTGCTCGTCACAGGGTAAGTCCACAGAGCAGTTAGACACTTGGACAGAGGGGAATTGTAGGCTGTCGGCACTGACAGGCATGAGCACCCCTGGATGAGGTATGGCCGCCCATACATGTTGTGCTCGTGCCTGAGAGTTCGCTGTTATGATGGCACACATTAATAGGAATAATGTCCCTTCTGACGGATTGCCTTCTGGTGTCATGCGTGCAGCTTGGTCCTGTAGGTTCTTAAGGGCCCATCAGTGCCTTGGTTGCCTCCGCCGTCGGGGCTAGTTGTCCTCTATGGTCAGGTCCTCCATTTCCTCTACCGGGGGTGATGGTGGTGGTGGTCTATGGCTCATCGCTGGTGGTGCAGGGTTTGATGTTACGGGCAGGAATCCACGCGGGATTCTTTTCACCTTCTGGAAAAACACAAGCAAACCCTCTCCCTTGGGTTAAGAGTGGGTCAGGGCCCTTTCAAGCCCTGGTTAGTGGATCTCTCCACCGGAACAGAGGTAGAGGTGTTGGTACATCCTTGAGACCTCCCCAATGTTTGAAAATGGGAGGAAGACCGTCGGGGGCAAAATGAAAATAATTGAGAGTTAATAAGGCCTGTTGTAATAGTTGTTGGGGGGTGCCTGTATTTCCCCCTTCTTTTTCTTATTGAATCTGGGTTTTTAGTTCTTTGTTCTGTCCATAAGGCATTGGGTTGGAGCCTCCAGGGGTTGACCCCTTCTGGCTGGAGGCGGCCTAAAGGCAATAGGGGGCCACAGGTTTTGCATGCCCATATGAGATGCGTGCAGCTAGAGAGGGTTAAATGAGGAAATAGCTTGTGCAAGCTAGCTGCCTCTATCTCTGGATTGTTTTTCCTCTTGTCTTCATGGCTGGAGCATTCCTGATAATTCTTCTCTGTTTCAGGAATCCACATGACCTTGGAGTTGTTTTCTGAAAATATTCTCGACCAAAGGTTAATAAAGGAAACTTTACTTGGGGTTCTATTTATTTTTGTTTAAATGAATTTCCTTTGGCTTATTTTGACACCATGTAGGTTTTTCACGGGTGTCTTGCTGTTAGCATTACAAATGAAAAATTTTTCTAGATGTAAATTAGTTACAGAATATTTTTCCTTACATGGTATTTTTCCACTATTCCCCCTTTTTGATTTAATTATTAGAAGAATTTTTGGAAAATTCATAATGCAGTCTATATAACTTTAAATTTTAATTTTTTGCATAAAAATATGACTGCTTTAGGGTCATTGTATGTTAAGCAATTTTTTCATGAAATGAAAATTTTGGTTAATACTTCTTGAGTCAATTTTAATTAATCTGAAAACTTGATTACTATTTTACTGTCAAATTAAATACTTTAATAACAATCTTAGTTTACACTGTAAATATTAATGGAAAGGATTATTTTGCATCCTTTGAGAAGACCCTGAGCATTCCTGGTGTTAGGCTGGATTTCTTAAGTGCCTTCCCAGGGGGCCTTCCACACAGTGGAAGGGATTAAATCCTTTCATGTTCTTAAATTATATTGCTGATAACAATCCTAGTTTCCAAACATTTAAAGAATTAGTTTGTAAGCTTGTTTGGAATAAATGTATAATATGCCATTATAAAATATTAAAAATTATTAATGAGCTTCTGTTATTTTAAATTATATTTTAAAATTCTATTGCTGTATTTAAGAAATATTAAATAAAATAACTTGTTTTGCCCTTTCTTTTTTTTTTAATATACTTTATTGATTTTTTACAGAGAGGAAGGGAGAGGGATAGAGAGTTAGAAACATCGATGAGAGAGAAACATCGATCAGCTGCCTCCTGCACATCTCCCACTGGGGATGTGCCCGCAACCAAGGTACATGCCCTTGACCGGAATCGAACCTGGGACCTTTCAGTCCGTAGGCCGATGCTCTATCCACTGAGCCAAACCGGTTTCGGCATGTTTTGCCCTTTCTTAGAGGCAAAAAACCTAAAATATATATTTATTAATTTTTATTTGATAAAGCTTTCCTTGTGATTTCAAGCATATTAAATTGGCTTTATTAAAAAATCCTTTAAGAAGAGAGAATAAACTTTTGAAAACATTTCAGGGCCCATGAAATGTCTCAAAGTCATTCCTTGGTTATAGTACTTTTTATAATTATTAAGAGATATCAATTAAATTAAAACTGACAAGATTGTCTTTCTATACTTTAGACATTTAGTTACCACAATTATAATTTTTCCCAATTTAATTTAACTAGAACTTTAAACTCCTAGCTGGCAAGTTAAATATTCAGCATTTCTTTAGATTAATAAGAGTAGGTGCTTCCTTTTGAAATGGCAAGATCTCAAACCTGTGGACACGCGGCCCCGCCCTTCTCTGCATTCTCAGTGAAGGGGCGGGGACTGCGCCCTCCATCTTACCCTGGGTCCTCCATTTTTGGGCAGGGCCATGTGCTCAGCAAGGCTTCTTCCCGGAAGAAGCCTCTGCTAGCCACACCCAGGATTTCTCTGGACTAACCAATGATAATCAAGGGAAGTGCACGCCATCACTATGACCACATCCTGTGTAATGAGACACCAACTCGCGCCTGGCCAATCAGCAGGGCCCACAGTCCCCTCTCCCGCCCTTACTCCACCCCCCTATAAAACTCCTGGTCCCATCAGGCTTCGCTCTCTTGGCCACTTGGTTTGCCATTGTGTCGGTGAGTGTGGTGGACGTGGAGTTTTAGCTAGCTTAAAATAAAGGACTCTTTGCTTTTGCATCGGACTGGCTGGCTCCCTGGTGGGCTCTTGGGAATCTTGAAATCTGGGCATAACACCTTTCTTGTGTAATCTTAAGTATATTGTATTAGTCTAATTTAGTATTGGAAGGGTTAAAGAGAAGAAAACTGGACAGAGATAAGTTTGCTTGCTAGCTGCTTGGATCCTTGAGACCTGCATACCTTAGATAAACAAAAACCAACAAAGAACTCTCTCTCCCTGCTCTCCATTGCAAAGGCCTCTTTTTCTTTTTCTTTTTTTCTCTGCATTAACCATTTGGATATCGGGAATATTGTTGCAGTTCCGGTGGCATTTGGTGCAGCTGTGGGGTTAACATTCACAGGAAAGAGTCTAGGGGTCTCTAGCCCTAAAGACTTATTTGCTCTATCTCTCTGGCTACACAAGGATTGATATATCCCCGTCCATGGATTATCATCCGTGTCCCCCATGAAAGGATTACTTGGGGGCCTGATCACACTCCCTAAACAGTTAAACTTTTTGTTCGCTCTGCAAGAGGAGCGGGGGAGTGACTCTGGCAGGAAGGCTCCTAGTGAGACTCCCCTGCTTTCTCCTTGCTAGAGGTTTTTTCTGTCTCAGTTTCAGCCTTCCTTGAGCTTTGAGAAACTACTTTGGTCTTGTCGAAAACAGCCCAAGGATCTGCGGGGGCAGAGGGCTCTGGAGGGGAATAGGGAGGTAAAGGGTCTTCTGTTCCCCTGCCCACACCGCCGGTGGAGGAGAGCCAGGGGTTAAATGCTATTAGGATAGCCCAGAGCTTTTTAGCTCCTTTTCTGTTACTTTTACTCGCCTGCTCTGTAACAACACATGAAGCACGCGAGCCTGATGGGCTCGGGCTGAGGGGGGAAGGATTCCCATTGTTCGTTACAGAGGGTCACTCACCCGACCTGAAGCTTCCGGGTCCCTGTTCGTGGCGCCAGAATGAAGCAGGGGGTCCCGCGGCGGTGAGGACGATGGAGCCTTAACGAAGCATGCCCGACTCCAGAGACCAGGTTCAGTGACACAAATCTAAGTTTATTGTGTAAGTGCAGCAGTATATATGACATTTTTGACCAATCAGAAGTTTACACAATCCTTAGGGCAGCCAATAATAGGAAAGATCAGGGTACTATGTAGGGGCTCTAGGAGGTTTGCTCAGGCTGGCGCTGCCACTTCCTGGTGTGCCGAGGAAGCTTGTACAGCGGAGTGTGCTCACGCCATTGCATCTGCCACTGCACTGAGATAAATCTCCTGAGCTCTTCCCACAGACTAAGACACCAAAGGAAGAGTTTCTTTCCTGATCACACTCCCTAATGACTGAGAGATTCATTAGTGTGTGAGTTGAAGTGAATGCATACTTTCTCTTCACTTTCTTATCCTCTAGGCTGCACTCCCTTCCTACCCCAGTCTCATCCAGTGCTGGTGAAAAAAAATTTTCCAAGGATATACACCGTGAAGCACTCTGAAGGTAAGCAATAAGATTATTACTTTGGTAAAAAAGGAAAGGCATGCATATGAGTGAAAAATCAGACAGAGGCCAAAAACCAGGACTACAGGCTTTATTAGAGGAGAAGGATCTGCTGGCTGTCTCACAAGGGGAGAACAGCAGCACATGCAGGGGTGGGCATGCCTTTGGAGGGGCGGAACGGGAAGGGGTGGGGAGCTTAGTGTACTTGGCGCACACTGATTGGTGGGTCACTGCATTGTCCATACAGGACAAGGGTTTAGGGTATTTGGCAAGTGTGGATTGGTGGTCCAATGTAAGGTACCTGCCCACCAATTGGGGGGAGGGAGGATCTACCAATGAGGAAGGGGTTGGTGTTTCCGGTTTCCACCCCCTGCTGAAAAGGAGGTGGAACATGCTTTGAGTTTCAAATTGCAAGCAAAGGCTAAGAGAGAAAAGACTTGGCCAGTGAGTTTTGGGTTTTTTTTTTTTTTTTTTTGATTGTTCTTCTTCTGTTTTGTTTGTTTGTTTTTTTAAATTCTAAAAGGATAGGTCTTGGGAAAAAATTTTGAAAGTGGCTATGTTTGGGGGAAGCCAAAATTAGGTTCTGTGAATGTTTAGGATCAGGGGTGGGCAAACTTTTTGACTGGAGGGCCACAATGGGTTCTTAAACTGGACCGGAGGGCCGGAACAAAAGCATAGATGGAGTGTTTGTGTGAACTAATATAAATTCAAATGGGCCGGATCCGGCCCGAGGGCCTTAGTTTTCCCACGGCTGGGTTAGGTGAACAGAGCTGAGGGAGAGGGAAGAAAGAGGAGGGAGGAGAAAGGGAAGTAGAGAAGGGGCCTTAAAGACTTTACCGAATTATCTGCCAAAGGGTGCAGGATCCCCATGAGATGTGTACCAGCAGCTGCTGTCCCCAAGGGCAATAGGCTTTCACTGTTTCCTTTTATTATGCAGAGTTGAATGAACAGGAGGCACTGATAGTAAATCTCAGACTTCAGGCTCTCAGTGAGCATACTGGGTAGCACTGAGGGGAGGGGAGGGATGTGGGTAGCTCAGGATGACTGAACTGCATGGGGAGGGACATTTTATGGATTAAATCTAAAGGAGGCTGTTGCTGACTTGAGAGGAAATGAGGCTGTTTAGTGACTTGAGAAATCCTTGTGCTTCAAACAGACAAAGTCCTGAAGGAGACCGGGAAGTTTTTAATCCAGTGACCTGGAGCCCTATACGTGGCTTGTTGGGTGACCTATTAGAAGATAAAGTGCAGAAGCAGAAGGAGATGGAGAATCTACTTAAAAAAAATGTCAAAGAATCTACTAAAAAAAATGCCAAAGATATTGATCAATTCATTATAAACTGCTTCCACCAAGCATATAATAATGGACAGTCCTCAGGTAAGGTCTACCGCTCGGACTAAAGTCCATGCAGGACCCCTGTCTTTGCACCCACATAGGATTTCTTCATTGGTCATGATAGTTTGCCAACAACTTCTTTACATCTGGCTTCAGGGCCCCATTTCTAAGTCAGTGGCACTATTGAATATCCCGTCTCGTTACTCTTTATTCTTATTCCTTTTACCTCAGAGTCCTTCTAAGAATTAAAACTCACTTCCCATCCTGAGTATATGCTAGCTCAGTTGTTGAAGTTTATGAGAACAGTCTGGTAAACTTTATACCACATTCTCTAGTACTGCTGGCAAGGCAGTTTACTTATTTAGTTAGTTACATATTTAGTTAGGTAGCTAGTCAGCTAGTTACTTAAGTCTAAGAATTCCTAGAAACTTTTATAGTTATCTGACATGAAGATTTAAGGTCTGTCATTGAGTAGTTTTATAATTTCTCTCTAAAAGTTTGCTCTCCAGGAGGAATAAAATATTTCACTGATGGTGAGGCACACAAAGAATAAATTCAATGCTGAGAGAAAAGCTATGATTTTAAATGTGGACTCTTGTATTTAATTGTTCTCTTGCATTTTCTTTGAGTGATGTTGTCCACTAGCATGGAACTAGGCTGTAGACCATTGTGTAAGGCCCGACCTCTACCTCACATGCTCCCGAGGCCCTGATACAAGACAGAAAGGCATCTGACCTGCCCCTTCTATCTATAGTGCCTACGGCCCCCACACAGCCGAGATGGGAGCTCTGATGGACTCTCAACCCCTGGTCTCTTTTATGCTTCCCAAATGCAATCAGAGGGAAAAGTTGTTCTTTGAAAGCAAGACATCTTTTTCTCCGGGACTAGGAGAAGCCTATGCCTGGCTTACTGACATAGCAAAGCTCATCTCTGAGTAACTTCCTGTTTTTCTTTTAATACCTTTTTCTCCATTTAACACTCCCCCAAATTAAAGACAATCAATACTAACAATAAGGGTTCAGAATAATTGTATAGTAGCTAAAGTTTCTTTTTCTTTGCCCCAGTTTCTTCTTCTTCCTTTCAGTTCATAATCCTTGAGTCCTAGAGGCACTTGGACAAACCACTCTAATAAAGCCAACACCTGGAGTTGCCTGGCTGCTTGCCAGCTGATGCCTCCTCAGTCAGGTTGTCATGCCTTTGTCTTTCTCTCATCTACTTGGAAATTGTTTTCCAGGCCACAGAATATGGTAATTCATTGACTTATTTGGATGACTCTAATGGGAGAGATCTTTCTAAAAAAAAGTTCTTGACATGTACACTCCTGCCACCACAAGGCCTCCTCCAGAAAACGTTCTTGAACTTATTGACCTTTAAGTTAGTCCAGTCTGGATGGGAAGGACGGGGCGAGCTGCAGTCTGTAGCCTTGGGCTCAGCAGTTTGAGAGAGCCTATGGCTCCCCCTCATGCAGAGCAGGGAACTGGACCATATTTCGTCTATGGAAATCTTGTCTTCAATAGTAACTATGGGATGAAAACTCAGGGTATTTCGCATGTGTTAGCTCATGCCAATTCTTAGAATTTCTGGATTAAACTTCTAAGGTGTTTATTGTTATATTGAAATCCTTATAACAACTTAAAAACCTTACATTTAATTCCTGCCCATGAAAATGACAAGCATAATGAACCATGACCTCAGAGGACGCATTAATAGGCTTGAGTTGTTTTATACAACCAAATACAGTGTCAGGCTTCTGAGAGTTAGTTTATTTGTTTGACCTAGATTGAATTACAAATGCTACTAGAAACTACATGTCCTCAGGCCCAAGTTCAACAGTGATGGACTCTGCTTGCTGCAGAGGTTAAAATAAAATCGCAAACCTATATACTAGTGGTAACAGTGTTTTGGCCCGGAACCCAGGTTGTTTGTCTGCTGGAATTGAAGAATGAATCCACGGACAGACAGTGGTATAGTAAAGGTGGATATTTATTGAAGAACAAGTACAGACTCTCACATGGGGAAAGGGAAAGGGTCCCACACAGTTCCTTTCCCTGTGGCTTATAATGGCTGCTGATCTTGGTGATTTGATATCCTCTGT